TGTCTCACACGGGGTTGTTTGATTGTTTCTCTGTTTTCTTGTATTATTGCAGGATCTTTACAACATCAAGCATCTTGAGCAAACCGCTGTTGTGATTTGGAGCTATACAAATAAAGGTGAATTGAATTGAACCAAAGATCAGGTACAGCTTGACAGCATGCCATCCAAAGCTCTCTGACTGACCTACAGGGTCCCTCTGATTCTGGTGGAGCACCTTGCTGTTGCTCCCATCCATGCTGGCCATGTTAATGGTGTTGCCGTCTGTCCAGTACATTTTCCTGCATGAGAAGATGTGAAACGAATATGCATTAATTAAAAAAGGCAAAATATATCAAAGTTATACAGCGCAATCAATGACTGTTGTTTTCTAAACTGTAACTTGAATGTGGGCCAAAACATTTGATCTGGCAGCCTTGTGAAAACACCCGAAGCATGTAGAACAGTTTCTATACAAGCAGGATGTGATCCCTCGTTTTCCAGGTGAGGCTTCCTCACACTCTGAAGGTGAAGTGCTCATAAAGCGCACAGGCTGCTCTAATCTACTTACCCCTTGGCAGGGTGCACTACAAGGCACCTTGGCTTATCAATGCCGTGGATGATGGACGTCTTTAGGGACCCATCAAAGCGAGCCACATTGATTTGGGACTCGTCGTTTTCAGAGCTCAGCCAGTATAAGTTCTTGGAAAGCCAGTCTAAAGCCAGACCGCGGCAGTTGACTATATCTGTCAGGAAGGGCATGAAAAAGCTGTCAGGCTCGTGTGCTTCAATGAAATACATGAAAACAAGATACATAAGAAGCAACATAACAACATTCACACATGCAAATATAATGCAGAACAGATGGAAACAGCAAAACATAATCACTGTGATAATAATTAATCTCAGTTACCAAACCAAACGAACATCTCTGAAGTCTAAAGACGTGCACGTTAGCTCAGTTTGTGATTCCAGTGTGCAGAAAATAACACGATGTACAAATCCACACCCAACTGTACTGGTATACCTGCAATCTCCATACAATTATCCTTATGTCATATTTAATATATTGATCATATGAATATACAAACATGTGTATAATAATGTAATAAGACAATAGTAATAACCACCCGATGTGTACTGGTATATACGTGTTTTCTGTAACAGTCGCTCCACTGATGAGCTCTTTAGCTGAAATTCTGTTTTTATGCTAAATTAGATTTTTGTCAACGTCCAGGAATTTTGAGCTCTGTTTTATAAACATTATTAAAACTTATTATCTCTGATTAAGATACCAAATTAAAGTTATTTACTTGCATTCCTGAACAGAAAAATGTTTAAAGTGAATCTCGACTCCTCTGAAAAATGAAGCTCGTCGTTGTCCTTATAAACATGTTTTTGACAGATTTCTCAAATATTTGTGTTTCCTTGTTTTTAGGACAGCTTGTCTGATAAATGTATCGAGCCGTGTAAACAAAACAAAAACCTTCAGGGTATCTTTTCATTTAACGTCTGGAATCGACTCACCTAAGGAGATGACAGTCTCGAGCTGGGTGCCGTTGATGAACGCTCGTTTGATCGTTTGAGTTTTGATGTCGGCCCAGTAGATCCTCTCCTCCTGGGAATCGTAGTCCACCACGGTGACATCATCGATATCTGGCACCGTCAGAGCCGTCATGACGTTCATGTAAGGGTCGTCAATGTCCACGCCACGGATTTCGGACCGCCGCACATACAGGAGGAACCTTTTCAGCTCTGGTGAGATAATTAAGCAACCGATCACTTGGCATAGTGCATTTTCTGTTTTCACAGACAGGAGTTATAATAATGACTGATATGGACGTTGGTGTAATCTAAAGAAAGAGGAAATATAAAAGATGTTCCCACTCACCAAAGCAGGACTGTTTGTTGGTGGAAAGCTTCATGAGGTGTGGGCAGGTGCAGGAGGCTGTGCGGTTGTAATTGATGAGACACAGATGTGAACAAGGACCACGTCCATCGTTCTTCTCACACGGGTTAGGAACTGACAGGAGCGAGGAAAGGGAGGAAAACACAACACAAAGTAAAATGAGGAGTTAAGAGATCAGACGGGATAATAACAGGACGCAAACTTGACTAAAAGCCTCGGTGACATTTACAGGTCCGTCTGACTGCGTGTAAGGAAACAAAAGCATCATTTTGCACTTGTGTGGCATTAAAGCAGAAAATAAATGAGAAAGCATGAAAGTGGGGCACTTCTGAAGAGAATAAATGAAAGCTCCAACACAAGTTATGAACAAAGGTCACACTCACAAGAGAAACGCTGAAAAAAGTCAAACATGTTAGGACGTCTGTTCTTAAACACGGAGAAAACGTTGGATTTGCAGCTGATCCTGACGTATCCTTGCAGGTTGTTCTCTTGACCAGTTTGGAGGTTTACAAATACGTGAAAATTATACAAATAAAATCGATTTTCATATTCTGCCTCTTGCATTAAAGGTGACAGTATCACTTGTGCTTCTACTACCACAAACTAAACTGAGCGGTGCCCTCGTAGGCGCAATACAAAGGACTGAGTTTCCACCATTTCTTACTGTACTCTCTTCACACTAAATCACCTCAGTCAGACTAAAGAAAATCACCCGCAGTTCAATAATTTCTCATCATGCTGCAGTCATATTTCATGCATCAGAAAAAAGCATTTCTCTATCCACTCTGGATGATTCATGTCAAACAAGCTCATTCAAAGTTTATTCCCCAAGCTCCTTCAGCAGCACACTGGAGAACCTCGTTGCATTTCAAATGCGGCTCATTTAGACTGAAAAGAAGCATTTCTGTCTTTGCATTCTGGAAACAACACCCGGCCGACTCAGTATGCTAACAAGGAAACACGGTAACGGTGCTGCACTTGGCTGAATCGCCGTGTGGAGGAGCGACGGGCAGCAACATCGCAGCCAAAGTGTTGCTTTATTTGAAACTTTCAGAAGCAGCAGAAACTGTTACCTCTCAAAAACAAACAAATT